TAACTTATATTAAAGTTTTTCTTCATTACCCATTTAAGCCGTCTCCAGCCATTATTAGTCTCAAAGTGGGTTCCTCGTCATCGGACTATCGTATATCTTCAGTAGGATAATGTGCTTTAACAGAAGTTTGGGATAAGTCCAAGGGCTTCTATGGCATTCACTGCTTTATATCTGTAACTGTATAACTTATAGCTATGATAAACTTAAAAAAAAAACAGTATCAACTATGCATCCACTTAAGTTTACAAATTGTTCCCTCCCTATTATCCCGGAAAAATCAGGAAGAATTACAAGATTTATCACAAATAATTTTTGGACATTGGATGTCTGTAAATTGTGCACTACAAGCATGTATATCAATATGAATAAATTGAAAAACTGATAGCAGTTTACTTAAAATTGTTACGCAGACATTGTTTGGGTGCTATTGAAAGGTAAATGAAAATGACGTCACAAAACAAAGGATTCTATCATGAAATCATAAATAACCTGATTTAGTGAATTTGAAACTATCCAACAAAACTCGCAATACTATTGCAAAATTGCAACAAAAAAATCACAGAGGGAGTAAACATTGCTGCCGCAACAAAGGGTTAGTTACGGAGTAAACATTGCTGCCGCAACAAAGGGTTAGTTACGGAGTAAACATTGTTGCCGTAACGAAGGGTTAGTTACAGAGTAAACATTGTTGCCGCAATGAATAGTTAGTTATGGAGTAAACATTGTTGCCGTAACGAAGGGTTAGTTACGGAGTAAACATTGCTGCCGCAACAAAGGGTTAGTTACGGAGTAAACATTGCTGCCGCAACGAAGGGTTAGTTACGGAGTAAACATTGTTGCCGCAACGAAGGGTTAGTTATGGAGTAAACATTGTTGCCGTAACGAAGGGTTAGTTACAGAGTAAACATTGTTGCCGCAATGAAGGGTTAGTTATGGAGTAAACATTGCTGCCGCAACGAAGGGTTAGTTACGGAGTAAACATTGCTGCCGTAACGAAGGGTTAGTTACGGAGTAAACATTGCTGCCGTAACGAAGGGTTAGTTACGGAGTAAACATTGTTGCCGCAATGAAGGGTTAGTTACGGAGTAAAATCTCAAGCTGTTATCTTTGTATTTTTATGATTGTGATTGTTATTGTTTTCTAGTTATAGCCTACATGATGCTAAAATTTAATCATGGGTAAATTACGAATTCTCACTGCATTTATTTGTTGTTGATCTACCTTTTTAAAGGTAAATAGCAATTTAGCTACTCAGTACATGATGTCTTCCCGTTAGTTAACTCATAACATGAAGTTTAATTGCACGAAAAAAGATAATTAGTTGTTCTGTTAGTTTACTTTAAAACTTTGAACACGAAGTTTATTCGGAAGAATAACAATACATATAAAATAAAAGAAGTGTGCTCTTGATTTCAGTTTATAGGATACGCTTGAGTGGTTTCTTCTGTACATAAATAACATTGTTCTTCTCTCTGGTCTGACATCCTGAATTACACTGTAAATTTCTAGTGGATACTAATCTACGTAAACACACGAAACACAACTTTGTAAAAATCATGCCTATCACAAATTTGTTTTTGGTGACTCGTCAAACAGGTTTAAGCAACGAAAAAATGACGTTTGTTTTGATATCTTAAGAGGTGAAGACAATGAATGTAGTAAGTCGAGGGCAAGAACTTCCATAGACTTAGCTCACTAGTTTATGATAAATATGGGTAATGTACTCCACGCTCTAAAAATAAATGTACGTGCATTTCTGATGTCTATAGTGACTTATTCCAGACTAAAATTAGTTATAGGTGATTGTTTCTATAATAATTTCATCCAAATTGAATTTATGTATAGAAGATCGTGTCTGTAGTAACTCATTCCAAACTATGTTTACATATGGATGATCATGTTTATAATAATTCATTCCAAGTTAAGTTTTATATAGAATATCGTGTCTATGGCAACTCCTTTCAAGTTAAGTTTATATATAAATGATCGTGTCTGTAGAAACTCATTCCAAGCTAAGTTTGTATACAGTTGATCGTATCAGTAGTAACTTGTTAAGTTTATATATATATATGATCGTGTCTCCAGTAACTCATTTTAAGTTAAGTTTACATATGGATGATCGTGTTTGTTGTAACTCCTTCAAAGTTAAGTTTATATATAGATGATCGTTTCTGTTGTAACTCTTTTCAAGTTAATTTTAAAAATCGATAATAGTGTCTTCAGTAACTTCTATAAGGTAAGTTTACATATAGATAATATAGTGTCTCTAGTAACTTATACCAAGTTAAGTGTGGGTATATATATAATAGTATCTATAGTAACTTGTTCCAAGTTAAGTGTGGGTATATATATATATAATAGTATCTATAGTAACTTATTCCAATTAAGTGTTGTATATATATATATATAATAGTATCTATAGTAAGTTGTTCCAACTTAAGTGTGTGTATATATATATAAAAGTATCTATAGTAAGTTGTTCTAAGTTAAGTGTGGGTATATATACAATAGTATCTATAGTAAGTTGTTCCAAGTTAAGTGTGGGTATATATATAATAGTATCTATAGTAACTTGTTCCACTTTAAACGTATATATGAATGATAGTTTTTACAGAAATTTACACCAAATTACTTTTATATACATGTAACGGTATCTATAGTAACTCGCTACACTTAAACGTATATAACTGCTGATGACTGTAGGAATCAACCACAAGACACACACTTTCTATTACGTATTTAATTATTGGAATAATAAAACGTATATTTGTATATATGCATATATTTCATTAGAAAAACTACATAGAATTATTAGCCATATTCATAATAAAATGTACGTCAAAAGAGCAAGCACGTTCCTCATTAATTTTGGAATAATGTTAACAGATTATTGTGAAGCATTGGAGGCCTTATACCTAAAGTCAATTTCAGGCAAATTTTCATTGTTCCTGTTTAGAGTAACGTAAGTGGATCCAGGTGTAGTAAGTTTTGTTATAGTCAACATTGTTCCCTTCATACAACTGATAACAAAACACGGTAAAATATTGTTATGACTGTAAAGTGTACAATACGGACCAATTGTTTGTGCAACGTGACTGGTTCAAGGTATAGTAAGTTTTGTTATAGTCAACATTGTTCCCTTCATACAACTGATAACAAACATGGTAAAATATTGTTATGACTGTAAAGTGTACAATACGGACCAATTGTTTGTGCAACGTGACTGGTTCAAGGTGTAGTAAGTTTTGTTATAGTAAACATTGTTCCCTTCATACAACTGATAACAAAACACGGTAAAATATTGTTATGACTGTAAAGTGTACAATACGGACCAATTGTTTGTGCAACGTGACTGGTTCAAGGTGTAGTAAGTTTTGTTATAGTCAACATTGTTCTCTTCATACAACTGATAACAAAACACGGTCAAATATTGTTATGACTGAAAAAGGAATCTCTATCTTCTGAGAGTGCCTAGTTTATTTGTTCTCTTGGTTTTGATCATGTTTTCTCTGGATCACTCTGTAGACAAACTATTGGCTTTAATATTTTAAATGATACTTTTGCTAAGTCACTAAGCTACCGGTTTTAAACAATACAAATCTTTCTTTCTCAATATCTTTCCAATCGAATTACTGGAATTGAACAACACATATCTTGCCTCCCATTGGCCATGTGTTTTACACAATACGCATCATAGGTCACAAAGTTACTAATTTTATAAGTTTAAATCATGTTATGTGTTTGTCATTTTATGGCCAAAATCTCTAGCTTTGAAAAACACAAACTGTGTTTTACCTGGGTCCATCTGTGCCAAAGTGTTGGTTGGAACACTACAAATAATGCTTTGCATAGGTTACTATCAAGCCAAAAATCATGCGTTCTCTAGGTCAGTCCTTAGCCAAAGGTAATAACCCACGCCCTCTCTGAATATGACCTTATATGATCAAAATTAATGGACTTATTATATTAAAGATTTGAATGAATTTCTTCTTACGAAAGAACATACGACCAGATGAAACGTTGCAGATTCTTATTTTGTGATTATATGATTTTGAATATTTGTTCTGCGCTATGTACATCGCCTGAACGTAACACTCTGATTGTTTGAAATTAGATTAGAAGATTGAAAAAAAAAGCCCAGTTTTCAGGATGGTAAACCTTAATGAAAATGATACGAATATAGGATTAGTTAATACTCTTAACGGTAGACAAGACTTTCATATAAGAAGTGCTCTTTCTTGTTCTGTTTCTAGTTTTTCTTAGGTAACTTTCAAAAGATAAAAATAAGACTAATGATTAGAGTCACAAAGCTGTATTGAAAATTTACTAGCAAACAATACAGGCTGTGAGCTCAAGACTTGTAGTGGCTTTTTATTTTTATACACATTGTTCAATACTTTGAAGCTTCTTTACCTCATAATTAAATTTTTTAAAATATAAATAGTATTTTTAAGATGAAAATTTTAACTCATTCACTTTTTGCTCCAAAATATACTTAATTTCTTCGCCTATGCCTCCTACATACTATATACACAGCATTAGGAAATCTTGTTTCCTGAGCTTTTATACTGACATAAAAAATCCTGTGTCTATTGTATCACAGACGGCCTGAGGAACCAGGTATTGCCCGAAAGGCCTCTTCGGCACTGGATATTGCAGATGTAATTTGTTTAGCATATTATTACATATTATTTCTTGCTTTCATTCGTAAGTTTTAAGATTTGCCGTAAACAAAACTGAAATTGATATAATTTCGTTTTTATCTGCTAGGTATCAACTATATTTCGTATTCTCAGTACTGCTTTTCTGGAATTCTGTACTGTGCCTGTTAAACAGTATCTCTAATGTCCCTCCAATAATTGGTGAATATCATGACGAAACGTCCTCAAAGTGTGCTCTCATTCTTCGGAGGACTTCCATACAACGTTACGGAAGAACACCAGCGCACCCTTATGGTGGATTCTTTGACTTCCTTAAGCCAAGGTAAGAACTAACCCAATGTTCTTCTTTCGCATATTGCAAAAAGAAAAAGAAACATTAGCTTATGAAGGATACAATCAAGTTAAGTTGATTTCATCTCTGACACGACTTCCAATTATAATCATATTCTAATAACTGTAGTTTCATACCATTGATGGCAAAACCTACACATCAATTTGGTATGGATATAACGTTTTAAATGTATAAAAATATGTTTTGTTTTCATTGTTTTTCCAGGGCCTTCCTTCCTTCCGGTCCTCTTGAGAATGTATGTATTCGGTATTCTGATGTTAACCGAGCTCTTGCCGAAGCTAAACATCAAATAGGTAACTTAATTAAATGTCAACTCTTTAAGTTCGTCAATTTTATTATTATGAATAAGTAAACATATTTTTTGCCCTGATTTAAATGTTTGCTTCAACCGTATAAAAAAACAACTATAATGTTTTTGTTAATAGTTAATTTGTTACCTTAGCGTAAAGCTTTACGATTGGCTATCTGCGCTCTGTCCATTCAGGAGAATCAAACCCTGGAGTTTAGCACTGTAAATCCTGAAACATACCGTTTAACCTACTTAAATGTACTTTAAAAAATTTGATGGTATTTTATTTTGTTAAAGTTGGCACCTCCACCCTGGGTGTCTTTTACATTAGCCCAATGTTTGAATTAGAGGGGCTACCTTCTCAGTATTTGATCTTGAAGGTCAATTAGACAAAAAATGGAGTTTTTCAACAACAATTTTCAATGTTGTAAACATAACAAGCAGTCGAAGTTCATTTTGAATATCTTTTGTATTGTCAAAAGTGTTAAAACAAAGTAGAAAACATCTTAACATGTGAATTAAATAATCGTCAAGTTTACTTTGATGAAAAATAACAAAAAGCAGCTATATCAACGGCATTATTTCTTTGCATTTTTTCATATGGCAAAAATATTAGACTCCGTCTAGTATGCATTTAACAGTTTTCTACACATCAGCCAGCTTTGGAATTTTTTTAACATCTATATACCTTTTTACAATGTGATAATGTGCTTAGGTTCTCAAAAGTTACATAGCACATTAGTACTACCTCATGGAAGTCACTCAGTGGGATTGCAACAGTTAACAGCATTGCGTGAAAACGCTGGTGTACATTTAAGAAGGCTCTTGTAACATTGCTGTTTTGCATCCACACGACAAGAGTTCTAAACACATGGTTGGAATTGACGGCAACTTCTTCCATACAACTTTCAATTTTTCAGGTATTTCTTCGTAACCACCAGTTTCTGCAAGACTTCAACCTCTATGATGTGTTTGTTGGCTTGGAGCTATAATTTGCTTCATAAGTTGCTCGAGCAATGTGTAACTTCAGGACATTGCCCTTTACAAACAGGTTGTGACGCATAATGTCCACATTTGTTGGTGGAACACTTCCAAACAGTCTAAAAACAAACCCCTTCGTAACTTTATATGTTTCATCCCTTCCCACTCCTTCAACCAATTTTGGATAATTTAGGAATACCTTCCATGCCAACTTTTTTCCATACCTGGCAACTGAAGAGGTTGTGTCTGAGCCTGTTAGAGCATGGAATCCCAGGATATTTTTAATGACATCATTGTGCAACTTTCTGCTGATTTCATGGACAGGATAACTTTTTTTTCTGTTTGGCTGTGCCTGCACACATCAACACTTGTACTGGCATGTTTTCCAGGAAATGGATCAACAGAAGCAGGACATTTGTGTCCCTCTAGTTCACTAACACTTTTTATATCTACCATTAACACATTATAAGAAGTGCAAAACTATCCTTGTGTCCGCCTCCTCGTGATTGCTTTCCACTTGATGAGTGAGAACTGGTTGATTCTGCAGACATTTGGGAACTGAACATTTGGAATCTGGTTAACTTTGTGACAAGCTTTTGGACAGAATTCTTATCAACAAGACTTCTCGATGGGAGAACAGCTTTACGGGTAGATATAGTAACTTCTTCTTCATCCTCTAGTCCATAAAGGACTTCCATATCATGCAAAACATGTCAACATTCTGACCAGATAGCACAGAACTTTCCTCTGGCCTGATCATTCCTGGTGATTCCATAAATACCATTGGATATTTTATATATCCTATTCATCCACTCCATTGCCTGGTCAAGTAAACTTTGTTGAACTTGTGATTGCTTCTCTTAACAACAAAGTTTCCAGCAAGAAACTCTATATGAACTTCAGGGGCATGCTCTTCAAGTCTCTTTATGTTTGCTAGATGTACTGGTCCCCATCTTGAATAATTTATGTGGTCATACACGGCAAACCAGGGTAGCATGGCTTCAAATGTCTATAGATGAAGATTCCAATTGCCTTCCCTGTTGGCACGAATGAAATCTATTAGGATTTCTACCATGTTTAGATATTTTGTCCAGTACCCAGAATTTGGATTTGAGGAGTGTTCTTGATTAAGCTCTTTCATTTTCTTCGTGATACCTATTTGCTGGAGTGTTTCATACAGATCACCAATAAGTTGTGGAATATCTCCATGGTCTTTATTCTGGGAGCGTTCAGTGACTTTGGAAACCTTCCAATAGTTCAGAATTTACATCATTTGCTGGTTATTGACTGCCAAGCCATTCTTTGAACTCTGTAGTAAGCTTTAACTTCAAGCATTGACTGTGTCGATTTCTCTGCATATAAATAAGCCCCCACCCAGACATCAACTAGGCCAGCACTCTCAAAGTGTTGGCCTATCACATTGAGTAAGACGATGTTCCTATACTTATATTGATTTCCCCATGTCAACTCTTTTGCTTTGCTGTATAGTGGCTCTTCCTTCGCAATAATGGTGAACTTCTGGTCACAATGAGTGGCGATCTTTATAAATCTTGTTATTACAGTAGCCAAAGTATCAGCAACATCAACAGGGGCTTTTAAAATAGGCATCATTCCTGGTGTTGTGGTCTCTGAATTGTCACTACTGATGGCTTCATTGAAACTGATCATGAAGGAACCATTTGTTTATCTTTGTTATGTAAACGACTCAAGATCCATGTTTCATTTTTGAAATTTTCTTTCCTCTTTCCTCACCATTCTCAAACCAATTGTTCACCTGGCATTGTTCATCATCAATACAGTGTAAAAGTATTCACCCCCTGCAAAGTTTCCACGTTTTGTTGCTGTCAAAGCTTGTAGTCATGAAACTTTTAAATGGGACATTATATTTAGAATCTATACAATCTACTCCAACCCAAAAAAGCTAAAAAAGAACGTGATATTATGTAAGTAAGTTAGATTTTCAAAGAAAATTAGAATATTCACAATTGCATAAGTATTAAACTTCTTTGCTACGGCAACCCTTAAATCAGTTCACTTGCTAAATATTAGTTTGAAAGGTCACAATATTAATGTAATGGTCTCTGTTTGTCTCTGTCAGCATAAGGTTATAAGAAAATTTCAAAGTCGCTGATTATCCCTTTGAGTACGGTGAAATCCATCATTAAGAAGTGGAATGTGCTTCATACCACCCAGTCACTACCCAGATCGGCTAAGGTCGTGTTCCTGTTATGGCCGCTTCATCAAGACGGTGAAATGTTTTTCAGAATGTCTTGCTTCAATGACTTGCATCGGTCAATGTGTATGTCACTGTCTTCTCTCCTTGAAAGAGGGCCACGTTGCCATAACATCATTTGTGTGAAATGAAAGATGTTTTCCCATCAATTGTGTCATCAAGAACATCAATACTGTCACATAAAGCAAAAATCAGGTGACCAGGTGTGTAAGAAACAAAGCCATCAGGAATATAGACGCCTTTCTCTTGAAACTTGCCCAGAATACCACTGACAATAGTTGTATAAATTCTGCGCAAGTATCCATGCCAATGGAATGTCCAGCAGAATGAAGGAGATTGACAAGATATACTGATCTTGTTGCTTGGTGAAGAGTGAGGTCAATACCCACATGTTTTGGAGTCAACTTCCTGTTTCTTAATACTGCATACAACATATCTTGTGCAATACTGTAAACCTCCCTTTGTAGCTGTTTTTCTGAATCACTCTGGTGTTCATCAAAGGATGTTCTTGATATATTCCTCTAGATGCAGAGCTATGACCAGGGGCGTTTTCACAGTCCATTCTAATCTTCAGAGCTGCATGATTTTTTCTAGTAATACTGGATCCTGATTCTCAACTGGAAATTCCACATCTTCTTCAGATTCGATAGTGATTTTGCGATAAAGTAGTCAAATTTATCACTGGGATACAAACATGAAGGCATCTTACCACTTAGAGAACGTACAAAGCTGTTTGATGGTCCAATGTTTTTCTGAATAGTTTCATAGAATGTTCAACCTCTGGACATGTAGCTCTGAGGCATTTGGACATCAGCTTCTTTATACAGATGAAAATATGTTCCAATACATGCCTTATGTCATATACTTTTCCAAACTTTAGGCCTGATATAATATCCAAAACCAGTTCATCCAGAGTTTTATCTTGTTTATAATCTTCTTTTGCCTGATGACTGACTTTCTCATCTTCTTCTGAAATTCTACCCAACAATGAACTTCCCATCAACAGTTATTACTTCAACAGCATCTGCCAATCTTACTCTCATAGTAACATCTTTTTTTGTGCTAACTTTATTATCTTTTCAGATAAATTGAGTTTTGCAATATTACGTAATTTTTTACTTGTTTTGTGTTTGACAAAAAATACACAGACTGCGATCAAACGAGGGTATTGAACTGCGTTTCACTGGCTTTTGGCTCTGTTGCTTCAAATTCTTCAGGCCCTGTTTGATGCTTTGATAAAAATTGCTTTCTCAATCGTTGCAGCTTGCTTTCAGCTGTGATTTTGCAGTAGCAAGTTTTATGCCATTTGAATAGATTCGCTTGCTACAGCTGAAGTTCAGAAAATCTAGTTATACGATCAGTAATATGATCTGAATCTGAATATTTAAGTTTTTATCTTTCTTTTGCGACAATCGTTAGTCTAGCCTTTCCAACTTCTAATGGAGAAGAACGAAGAGGTTCTTTGCTGTCCTCTTAGCAAATAATACACTGGAAAATTTTATCTTCTTTCTTTCTGCGTTTATATGAAGCAAGTTGATTCACCTCCATAGTCTAGTTTATTATCAGAACCCGACAGAAAAGAAAAAGGATTTGTCACATGTGCTACAATGGAAACAATGATAGAATGATACAATACAAATACAATAGAAACGATAATGGAAACGAGATACGTGTCACCATACAAACGTCAAAAACATTGCAAAAAATGGCTTATTTTGGTAATATTTTCACCATTTTGACCTTGAAAATGACATCCAAGATCAAATACTGGACTAATGTCTACACTATTTGATTATTTTGATTATTAAATACAACACATCTTGATGGAATATAAGATTTTGTTTAACTCTGACAATTAGTAAGGAGCTAAGTTCGTAAAAAATTTAAAATTGGCTAATATTTCATTAAAATGACCTTGAAGGTCAAATGAGAAGATGGTATCTCCTTTCATTCAAAACCTTGCGTCATATAGAAGACACCTGTGAGGAGTAACAACGTATAACAGAAAATGCCATCAAAAGTGTATTTCAGGATTTTGGCCGGCGTCTATAATGGAGAACAGATAATTAAGACTACCACTGTAAAAGCTTTACTACGTTTTTTAGATACTTTTTTTATTTGTCTTTGTTTTATGCAGGCTACAGACATCCACCCACAATCAACTCTTTGGAACCACATCCAGCTCATATCGATAAAACAGGAGAGTTGGTGCTGGCTACTACCAAACTATTAGCTAGACAGTGAGTACTGTTATAAGCAGTTAACTATGTGTTTGGCTTTACGTAGTTTACAGTCTACATTAACTGCAAAATAAAGTTGAGAAAAAGTAGCTTTAAAGCACAACTTTGAAAACAGGAACACTTGTAAATTTTTCGTTAGAGAGTTTAAGACAGTTCTGATAAATGAGTTAAATAAATAAATAAATTCTCATCATTGAAAAAAAAAATGTGATAATGTTCTTGTGTCTCAGCGAATGTAAAAGAAAAGCGTAAAATTAATAAGTTTTCGTTTAAATTACCCTTTCTGGTAATAAGAAATATTATTGTTAATGTTTCAAGCAATTGTAAAAAATTCAAAAAGATGTTTCGAACATTATTTATAGGTTTCGCAGGCTGAGCAAAGTTATTTAAGTAAGTCTTTAAAACATGTCACAGCTTCAAATTAAAGTTTTTTACAAATATAGCATGTTTGTTGAAATACTTATTTATTCTATTCGATTCTTTTCATGATCAATTATCTATTAATTTTCTTTTAGGTTCCAGCTTTCTCGAGATGAGATTATTAACGGTTTGCCAATGATTGACACCTCTCGCACAGACATCTGGGAAGTATGCCCCGCCCACTTGAAACCACTGCCTTGCACAATGGAGAGATATCGAACATACACGGGAGTGTGTAACAATATGCAGCACACTAGCTGGGGATCAACTCACAGCTCTTTTGTCAGGCACCTTCCTCCTGCTTACAGTGACGGTACGTTAACACTCTGTTAACATTCAACTGATATATATCAAATGACATGCGTACCTATAGCAACAAAAACCTTCAACTTGGGAATAAAATGTCCTATTCTTATAAATAATAAAGTTAGTCGGTCCATCATACCGCCCATGACTTGGAAGACTATTCCAGTGTAAAAACTAATTCTCACCAGCAGTCGCTATAGTGCAACATGCATACCGGGGATTGTATAAAAACAATATCAAACATGCTAGAAGTTGTTGTGCTCAAGGGTGGTATTTAATGGGGCCTTGGGGGGCTGTAGTCACCCCAAAATTTGTTTTAATTCCTTCTTAACCACTCCAACGAGCGTGTCCAACACGATAGTGATCTATATATCTTTATGGCAGAGCCCAACCCTCAATATTCTGTCTAACTCACCTAATACCCCCACCCCCCACAGTAATGATTCTAAAATTCATCAGATTCGAGCTAAAGTCCCTATTAAAAAGCATTCAAAAATTTAAATACTGTATTACGAAATGTTTTGGAAATATTTAATCAATAGTTAAATCATAAGACGGACACATATATTAGAATAAACGTTCAACATATGTATGCTATGGCTATGCAAGTAAACACATTTGTGATAATATACTAACATAAGTGTCAGTTACCTGTGACAAAGTGTCCAACAATTCTCGAACTGCAGCGATATCGTTAAAATTTGACACCTACTAAAACGAACCAATTTCAAGGCATAATGTGAATTTTCGAAAAACACAACCGCCGTAAAAAGAGCGTGTAAATATTACATAACGATGGTAGTACATAAATATTGCATATTTGCCCAGCGCCATGATAAAGGTCCCCACATAGGTTTAGAGACCGAAACGCTGTCCATGTCCATGCCTACAACCCAGGTAAGCAGAATCTTGAGATCAAATCCCTTCAGATCACCGTTTTTGTATCTTCAGGAAATGTGTAACTATACAGGACGGTGTGTCACCCTCAATTTTCTATAAGTCAATAATAAGTCAATATTTTCTTTATAACGAAACATTGAATCAGACTCCTCAGCAACTCTTCTATGAAATGATTGGCCACACATTTTGAATATCTTTGGTGACCTGAAGCTGAATAATCTTGTTCAAGTCTTCAAGAAAATAAAGTTTCAAGTGAATATTTTCAGTAAATAGGCACTATCAAGATATAGAAATGAAAACAATGTTGTTAACAAATTCTGCTTCCATGTTTAGGGATATCTGCACCTCGTGTTTCAGTTGTTGATGGAGGCCCTCTTCCTCTTGCCAGAATGGTCAGTACTTACATTCACCGCGACTTTGATACTCCTTCTGGTGACCTCTCCATCCTGTTGATGTCATGGGGTCAGTTTATTGACCATGACATGACGCTTGCAGCGTCACCTAGAGGTAAGTTAGGCAAATTGTTTAATATTTTGTTTTCTTGGCAAGACTTTTTTGCGTTTAAGAAAACATAACCAAAATTTATATAATATAATAATTTTATATTGATCATTTCTTGTAGAGGTACTTTTACTTCAGGGTGTAAAATAGTCTGGTTGTTTTAAGTCGATGGTGACAGAATGAAAATTATGGTTAAACACTTTAGGACGACTTTATGTGAAAGAGTGTTAAAATAGTAAAAGTTAAAATTATTCATGGTCATGTTAGCTGGATCGCTTGTCATATAAAGTCTAATTCATGACACCACACTCAGATTCTTACGTACATAATGAAACTCACACAATTATAGTTACAATAATATTCATACTAAAAGGATTTGAGTATGGAAATCAGCAAATCATGTGACAGACACGATCGATATACAGTCGTAGTAAAACGGCATGTATCAGAACTATATATGAAATTGTTTGACATTTCGTAGACAGTGTGATGCCACCGAAAATTGATCGCTTTTGCAAGGAAAAGGAAAATCTACTTCCGTGGCAACATATTCAAACATTCAGATCATAAAAAATGTGTTCAGATCGGGAATTTAGATTTTTCAAGACGAGGACATTCCTTGTAATTATTTTGCAATTCAAAGTCCTCTGTAAAGCTGAAATAAAACAAGTATATTTTTAATAAATTGCTACGTTTGATAGTTTTTAAAAATGTAAATTTATCCAATACTTTCATTAACAGCATCGGAATATCGTTTCACAAACAAAATATTTGTGGTGAAAATGCAACCTTCAAACTAGTGTATTCACAATATTTGATTCGTAATCACAGTAAAAATATTGATCACAATTATAAAACTCTCGTACCTACAGATTTATGCAGAGAATACATGCCAAACTTAACGGTGAACTTTCAATGCATATCTAAAACTGTAAACGTATTACAGAGTACTCAGAACTTGAGATGTATTATTACAGCCTTGACACAGTAACATGGAATGTTATGGAGATTTTATGCATGATGTTTCTTCTTGTTCTTTAATTGAATAACGATTCTCATGCACACACAGTACGTACACTTTGACCTATTTGGTTTTATCGCTAATCTGAATTAGTGCGACAGACATTAATGGCTTAAGAAATATTGGAATATTTCAATGACATAGTTAGGTAGCCACTTTCTCATAAATAAACCTGTCTGGCTTCGGGAGTTCGTCTTACACTAGTTTCCTGGTTACATGATGAATGTGTACTTTACTTGGCAAATATCCAAATTACAAACTACACAATGATGCTGTAGTTCATTTCTTAGTGCGAAGCTACGCAGTGAGCTATATGCAATCAGTCTTCTGCGAGGACTTGAGCCACAGATTTTAAGAGTTGCAAGTTCTTAAACTTACCGTTAACCCATCGGGGACCCACGTAAGGATATAGGCATCTGAATTGTTTACTACATTTTAGAGTATGTTTTTACAAAGTTCTAGTGTTTCAATGAATGCTTTTAAAGTTCGAGCTCGAAAATCTCATGTGTGATTTTTTTATGTTTATCAGAAGTTTCACCAAATCAAATGAACCACAAAAGCTTTTCTAATTATCAAAACAAAACAGCCATACAATGTGTTTATCGAGTGGTTTACCAGATTTGAAATTCAAAGTTTACAGTGTTTCATAAAAACTAACATTATAGTTACTTTACTGGCTAAGAAAACAATTTCATGTAATATAATCTCCACATGTATAAATGTATAATAATGAATGACAAGGACTGTTTTTAGTCTTACATAGATTTATTTAATGGTAAATGTAAATTTTTAGTTTCTTTAAGTGATTTATGGAATTATTTCAAAATTATTAGCAAATAATTCATGAATTTGTTGAGGAAGTTTCCACTCTTATAACGGTTGTACATTATTATAATAATAGGAAGTGGTTTCTTAAGACGAAGCAATCGATTCTAGAAATATTATCTACCTGTTGGACATGTTTGTACCGGTAGAACATATAAAAAGGAAATTTAGGAATGTATATCAGATTATGTAGAATAGAACCATAAAGTTTCGTATTCAGGATATTAAGTTTGTTTGTTCTTGGAATTTCGCGCAAAGCTACACGAGAGCTATCTGCGCTAGCCGTCCCTAATTTAGCAGACTAGAGGGAAGGCAACTAGTCATCACCACCCACCGCCATCTCTTGGGCTACTCTTTTACCAGCGAATAGTGGGATTGACCGTAACATTATAACGCCCCCACGGCTGAAAGGGCGAGCATGTATGGTGGGATGCGGATAGGATATTAAGAGTGGATTTAATGTTTTATGAAAGACATTGACCTAAAGACCTTCATTACAACTTGTCTTCCTTTTTAGAATGTCTCTATATGTCTTTTCTTATACCTCGTAAGTCAACAAAATACACTTGCTGGATAATTGAACTTCTCCACCCTTTTTTTTTGTATATTCGTTACTCATGAATCACATACAGCAGAGGTTCCAAACTTTCCCAGCTTACAGCCCACCTCTTTACCCGGGCAATTTTCTGTATTGTTCTGCGACTAACTTCAATATCCCTTGGGAAGAGACACTGGATTGCCACCCGCAGTTTGGGAACCACTAACATAGAGCATTCAGGGTTTCCCCTAATTCTGAGCTTTATGTAAGGTATCCATACAACTCGTAAAAAAAGGGGATATATTCATGTCGCACATTAACACTGGAGAACAAAGCGAACAATGTTGACACTGCGCTACCAACTGTGACGAGAAATTCACTGAATCATTGCCTAAATCATCTGCTCTGTTTACCCATAAATAAAAGTGTACAACAGAGAATAATCGTTAACCACATGTTTTCAGATAAAGTATAATTTTTAAGGAAATAATATAAAAAAATCTACAAAACAATTTGTTTTACTTTTTATGACATCATAGTATGAAAATGTGGAATGCAAGTCAACAGATTTGCTCCATTTAACGTAATTTTTGCTCTAATATGGAAAGAGAAGTGAAAATATGAATTTTGTGTGTGGAATTATCGACGTTTCAAAATGATAGTAAATGTATATTTGTTTGTTTTTACTTATGAATTAACAAACGTAAAAATAAGATATAAGCTATTTTAGATATGTAAATTACAAATGTAATAATGTAATAAACTAACCTAAATATTACAAGATTATAAGATAATTTTACAAGAAATGTTTTACGTATAAAGTAGTCAACATGTGATTAGAAGTGTTTACGAAACGACAAACGAAAAAATATGACAGGACTAATACACGAATAATGTAAAAAAAAGCGTAATAATGTGGCAAGACTTATATTTTTGGTATAAATTACAAATATAATAATGTATCAAGAACAGTTTTATGTAAAGTCTATCAAGAACTATCTTAATTATAAATAACAACGTAGCAATGTAACCAGAACAGATGTATCTATAAAGTAACAAATATAATGTGTAAAGAATTGATTTATGTAAAAAACAACAACAATGAAACAATAACTATCTTAAGTATATAGTAACAAACGTAACAATGTAACAAGAACTTTTTTAGTATAAAGTAACAAATTTAACTTTATTATTCCTTACCTAACTTAAAATATGATAAGTACAAGTTTCAAATAAGGAATAAACTAAAGTTACCAATGTCAATTATGTACTTCAGATGAGAACGAACTGGATTTTACCTGCTGTGGAATCCCTAAAGAGCATCAGCATCCTAACTGTATGACTATTGATATTCCTCCTGGTGATCCTTTCTATGCTCATTACGGGGAGACATGTATAGAATTCAAACGTGCTCTTGCTGGTCACAGACCTGGATGTGCTCTCGGTAAGAAGTGTTTCATCCATCTGTTATTGCACATTGCTGCTAATATATAGATACTGTTGTTGGAAATGAGGATGAATTCATTAAATGTAATTTAATACTGTTGATAATCGATCAGGTAATGTTTATATATTTTAATTGTTGATTTGATAACGAATCAGATAGGCCTTATTCATTGTTACATTGGGCTCAGTTCATAATGAACCGAATAAGTTTCATTCTTCGACATTTTGAGTACTTTCGATTACGAAATCTTTTCTCCCAAAATTCGGTTGTGAAAACAATAACAAAATAATGTAAAAACAGAATTTGTGAACATGATAATTTAATTGTGGTGTTTTTGAAAAGCAAACTCTTTTTAACAAATAAAAAATTAAACTTTAAAAGCCCGTAAGAGTTGTCTTTATTGTCGTTGTTATTAGATATTTGTCCAGTATTTAAGTTACAAATCTGATGACTTCATCTTCGGTTCAGTATCAGAACATTTTAGACAGAAATACTTAAATCGGCATGAACATGTTAGAGTAACGAGAATCAACTTTGGTTTGATGATTTAATCATGTCCTTCTTTATTTACTTAAAGGTCCAAGAGTACACATCAACCTCCTTACACAGTCACTGGATGCTAACTTCTTGTATGGCTCAACAGAAAAATTAGCCAAAGAACTCCGACTTGGTAAAGGAGGTAAGTTTCATGACACGAACTGAAAAATTAACCAAATACTTCTAATAAGAGATATATATAAGTAGGGTGATTCTTAAAATAAGTAGTAAAACTAGCAAAAGTGTTAAAACCACAAAGCAATGAAAACAAGTAAAAAAATATAACTAAATGAGGATTCTATGTTGAGCAAAAGACCTCGCCCTCACTGCCGTACAACAAATAAAATATAGTTAAAACGTACTTATAACTATACTTTTTTTTCTTCTGAAGACTTGTAATGGGCATGTAAAGAATGATATGATTCAGATTATAATCAATGTTATTGTGATATTGTACTGCACCTGATATCCATTACTGAACCATGCTTTGTCACCTTGGGCGTTATATACTATAACAGAAAATCTTTAAGAACTCCAACCCTGTATTTTAAAACAGAGGAAGTCCCTCTGTAGAACAGCGGTAACTTATGGACTTACAACGCTAAAATCCGGGGTTTGATTCCCCGTGATGGACACAGTAGATAGTCCAATGTGACTTTGCTTTAAAATAACCAACAGATAAACTAGTGTGATAATGTCTTACTACGTAAGGTCTGTCAGATTAACAACAGAAAAACTAGCATAGAACACGGACTTGGTAAATATGTTTGAAATAAATATAAAAAAAAAACAGAAACGTTTGGTGAGGAACCTACTAATTAATCAATTCAAAATTACAATAACCAACTTTTATAGTAGAGAAACTTTCATTTTACTGATAACAATGTTTCGACTCGTAGTATTGAGTCATCGCCAGGTAACAGTTACATTCAATAAAGCAGTTGGATTTTCAAAAAACGTTACAGACTCAAGAAAAGGAAGTCATATTTTTTAAAATCATTAAAGAATGACAACCTCGGTAAGGAATGTGTCTTCTCAACAAGTTTCCAAAATACATAACAGAATAGAATATACTTTTCAAATGCAATTACTGGGCTTATTTTAAACGATAGGTAAGAAAGTGTATCACGGTAATGAAAAAAAAATCATAATGGAATTTGAATTCATCATACAGTTAAAACGGTAGATGGCGCTTCCATGTAATGTCACTTTTATCAATGAAGGGATTTCGTTTTCAGGACTTATGCGTGTTTGGGACTACTTTGAAAACTTTGGACTCAAACCATTGTTGCCTCCTTTGTCAACTTATCCTGAGAAAGATTGTACCGCTCGCCCAAGACATCTGTTCTGTTTCAATGCTGGTAGGTGGCGATAAGAAAACAGCGAAAATTGTGCATTCAATGATAATATTACAAAATAATACAGATTAACTAAAATATTACTATGGAAGGTGGATTTTCTTGTAAAACTTAATAAGAATTATCTAGATTGCCCTCTTATGAAAGTGAGACTTCAAGAATAATTAATGAAATATGTCAGAATTTTATTTAAACCAATCTATATTTGAAACTAGCAGAGACCCGCAAAACATTTGCAGTCAAATTAATATCTTTATTGCAACAGTACTTCTTTAAATACAGGAATTCTATAGTAATACAAAAGAATTCTAAACGCAGACACTGAAATCTATAAGTCCACTTATCTTAGTCCTAACATTAGTTAAGCCTTTATTAAGTAAGGCCTATATTCAATAAAGAGATAAATTAATAAAAGTATACTTTTTTTGCTTTAGGCCAGTTAGGGCTAAACCTTACCGCACTTAATACTATCAATAAATATGCTTCTAATTGTATGACCTAACGTTAGACGATTTTAAGAACTTTGATAAGCTTTTAATATGTTGTATAAAATGTCTACTGAAGTATATTTATGTTCTTTCTGGCGCAACTCGACGATTTAACAAAGATAACATTTCTCGCAAATATAATTACAAATCAAAGATGGTGATTTTTGTATTTCTCTAACATGAAATTTATTTGAGCATATTTCTTTAAATATCAGCGGTAATGTCATGTTTATGTTATCCTTATGTATGATGGTCATCGCCATAATGAATGCCACAGGTCTCTCTAAGAGTACTTCTATCCTCCACCATCCTAATCTCCATCCAATTCTTGATGGCATTTCTTCACCAAAAATCCCTCCTTCCACAGAACTGCTTTTTTAAAAACTATATCTATACTAGCTATAACTTTTATATACTATATACCTATAGCTATACTATAACTATATACCCATCTATACCTTTTAAACAAACACAATAAAATATTTCTAAAAACATGTTCAGAAGAGTATCTTTAAAAGTTTGAACTGACCTCGAAATGTTATTGGCAAAATGGTCTAAAGCTGTTTTTTCAAGAGTTCTAGTTCATTTTACTTACACACTTTAGTCATCATCAGACTTTTATAAGAAACATAACTGGAAACTGTACTATATTCCTTCAACTTCAAGGTGATGAGCGTGTTAACGAACAGATCCACTTGACTGTCTTGCACACATTGTACGTTCGTGACCACAACCGAATTGCCACTGAGCTCTCGAGACTGAACCCGCACTGGGATGACGAGAGGATATATCATGAAACACGTCACATCATGGCGGCTTCAGTACAACACATCACTTACACCGAATTTTTACCCATGATTTTGGGCGAAGAGACAGCGGCTCGTTACGACCTGACTCCTCATACTCACGTAAGATGTTTTCTTCAGATTTTATACCTTTAAACGTAATGTTTTACTTGTTGAAACTAGACTGTGACATCTTTCACTAGCCGTTTTTCGAATATTGTGCACACTACATCTACATACCACTGCTATTGATTAAGCCCAATATTTTGTAAAATTAATGTACGTTATTTCCATGATAAAACAGTTTCCTTTTTAACACAGAAATCAATTTCGAAAGTCTTTGCTGTGTTTCACAAACATCGCATTAAGTTTAGCGTGTGGATTCAGTTACCCAAAGAATCCTTGTTTGTCTTAGTTTTTCACTTAGTTACACAAGGACTTTGTGCGCATAGTCGTCCCTAATTTTGAGTTGATGGAGAAGGCTACTCTTGTCTCACCGAATATTGGGACCATCACTTTTATAATACACCACGATTCGAAAGTGCGGAGCGTGGGATTTAGGAAAAGGAACACGAGCCATGTATCCTCTATAACAACCAAGTCGCGCCCGGCCTCCAGTGTATCCTAACACATGTAAAAATTAATATCACTTTTAAAGTAGTTAATATAATCATCTTACTTTCTAACGAGTTGGCATACAAACGAAAATTCAAAGGTATTTCAGGCTTTTTATCATATTGGAATTTCCTCATGGTTTATTATAATGCTTAATACTTTTGCTCTACTTTCTGCAAAAGTGTCTTTTAAATGTCCTTGCTGCCATTTTGGAGAAGCGTTTTATTTTTCTATTTTTTTGCGAAATGAAATATTTTGATTTTTTAAAAGAAAAAACATCTTTATAGATATTTCTAGAGAAACTTTTTTAAAGTATGTTATTGTATTTAAAAATTCACTAATTATGAGAATAAACAAGATCTTACAAAATATAGAAATTAGTTATTAGAAAAATTGAAGATTATTTTAAGCCATATAAGTCTCATACAAGTAATGAACTAGGTCTGATTAGAAGAGACGTTCACACCTTGTTAAGGATCTGCGATAGGAGATCGAAACGTCATTAAAAAAACAAAAAACATTCGGGTGGATGAAGTCCCTTGAAACTGCCAAGATGAATCCCAGTCATTGAACTAAAACTTTACTTAACCAAGATCTTTTTTTGTGTACAGGGTTATTGGAATGGTTACGATTCTAACGTACACATGGGAATGTCCAGTGGTTTCCAGTCGGCAGCTTTCCGATTTGGACATACCTTCATCCAGGGTATGGTGCGCAGGTACAACAAGTATCACGAATTTGTGGGTAAGAACTAGTCCTAATCTCTGTCCCTAAGTTTCATCTTCAGATTTTCATAAGAAAGAATTCCAAAAAACTTTTAACTAAATGAATGTAAGGGTAAAATATAGAAGACTTATCAAATAGTGAATGAAGTAGTGAATCAAAGCAAATCGAAAGTTATTCTTGAAGATATATATCAAATCTTGTGAATTTAAAGAAAATGATTGTTATATAATGTTGTGTTTTTGTTGCGTATCAGGCGAAGATCCTCTACGGACTCTTTTACGCCAGCCTTATATTTTCTACGAACCTGGCAAGATCGACGAACTTATCGGTGGTCTTATCAACACACCTGCCCAAACTTATGACCCTTTTATAACTCAGGAGGTAGAGTATTTTCTTTATTTATTATATCAATATTCTTTCATGAGTTAAATTTCATTGTGTAACATGTTATATTTCAGTAGGCAAGATTCATTAGCATGCTTTTTAGAACTATGCCACAGGGTAAGCTCGTTTTGAATGTAAGCTCTATTAGTATTACATTCAGAATTTAACACAGATGTTTGACGAGATAATAACTTGTTTCGAAGTATAACAAACAAATTTTAAATCATTTTAACACCGAAATTGTTGAAGCTAGAGAACAGTACTTAAGAGGATTTTGCACGAACTGGAAAATAAACAATTACACTTGATTGAAATAATAATTGCTTACAATATTCAATATGACCAGAAGTTATTGTCAAGTCTCTAGACAACAAATTATTTATTAATGACGTTTAAAATACTAATTTCCTGTGTTGTATAATCTATCACGTCACATTTCTTCCTGTGGATAACAAAACGTACTATTCTTTTCGCTTAAAGCTTTTCATCCACGATGAAAAAATTCTGTATTCTCTCAGTTGGATTATCATCATACATATTCATATATATATTACATTATTTAATAACTTTTCTTTAAGAAAAAGAATGTACGGCCATACACTTCCGTTTTGCTTAGTTTGACAAGTCACATTTTCCTGACGCTGAAAAAATAAAACAATTTCGTGCCTCTACCTTAATTACCTACTGCCTCGTAATACTAGTACCGAAGAAGTACATTTGCACTGTTTAGGTGACCAACCACCTTTTTGAAGAGCCACATATTCCTTTCGGAATGGATTTAGTTTCCTTCAACATAATGCGTGGACGTGAGACGGGAGTCCCAGGATACAATTTCTTCCGGGAATGGTGTGGTTTGGGAAGAGCCAAAACTTTCGAGGAACTGGAGCCAGTAATGAACAACGGCACAGCCTACAAGTTTGCTCAGTTGTACAAGTAAGTCTCAGCCTTAAATGGTAACATGTTAACGTACGTATAATAGGGTTTATAGTCTTCAATGGTTACATGTAACGTACGTATAGTAGGGTTTATAGTCTTCAATGGTTACATGTAACGCACTTATAATAGGGTTTATAGTCTTCAGTGGTTACATGTATCGTACGTATAGTAGGGTTTATAGTCTTCAATGGTTACACGTTAACGTACGCATAATAGGGTTGATAGTCTTCAATGGTATAGTATAGTATAGTATAGTAGGGTTTATAGTCTTCAATGGTTACGTGTTAACGTACGCATAATAGGGTTGATAGTCTTCAATGGTATAGTATAGTATAGTAGGGTTTATAGTCTTCAATGGTTACGTGTTAACGTACGTATAGCAGGATTTATAGTCTTAAATTGTTTCATCCTCTGCAGAAACAGGTTTAAAATTTTGTCAGGTTTTTCTATATGACCAGTTTTTAACTGTCTTTTTTTTAAATACCTTAAATCTCATATTTGGTATCTTATATCCTTTGGGCATTTTAAGCTGAAATTTTTAACATGAATCAAAGCATGAAATACATTAATAGTTAAAAGGTTTCATTCCTTTAAAATGTGCTATTAGGAATGAAAGAGGCTGTAAAAAAAAATGAGATAATTTTAAACTCCTCTGTTGATATTCAGAACTACACTGTTTGTATTGGAAGAAAAATCCATTTAAAATTAACACGGTACAGCTACTCCCAAGTTATGAATTATCAAATCATCTAGTGGTTGTTTCCTGGTCTCGGATTTCAATGTCGAAAAGTATTCGTCATACTCATGACTGCTACGCTGTTCTTTTGTCTTGTCTTGTCTTTTTTTTGCATTTCTTTTTCCAAAAGTAATTTCAAATGCTTTCTATGTTAGGCATCCAGATGATATTGATCTTTGGAGTGGCGGAATCTCAGAGCACCGCCTACCGGGAGGCTTGATTGGGCCAACCTTCGCCTGTATTATTGCTCGTCAATTTGTAAATGTTAGAAAAGGAGATCGTTTCTGGTATGAAAATTCGGGTTTTCCATCTGCCTTTACTCCAGGTAAGCCAACTTAAACAAAATTATTATTATTTATGCTTCTCTCCATAGCATTACAGTTAAGTCAAGAGATAAAACATAATATTAATTGTAATTTTTTGGGCTGTGAAAAGAGTCGTCGGCATGTTATATATACATAAACACAGTCTTTTCCTGCTTTCACACACGCACACACTCTATTAGTGAAAACAGCTTAGATACTGTCGTTAAGAAACAATACGAATGCACTCAGGAGGCATTCATGAATTCTCTTAAATTAGTAACAGTTATTGAAATTCACTGTATCAAAGAAAAACGGTCAGTTTTCGGTCTATAAAGCACAATTTACAATAGTATAATCTAATTAATTCACTACACAGGATCACAGTAATCGAAGAGTAATTACAATAATTATTTATCAACTTGCGGTGAATGATCTAATTATATAAGAACTCGTCTACATTCAACTATTATATGTTGCATGATTAGTAATTCTCATTTTTTCAATTGTGTCCATGTAACTTTGTTTTCTTTCTTGACTTATGTCAGGAAGTATTCATAAACACAAATATATTGATCAATCAGACTTTGAGGTTGAGCACGTTGTATTAAAACGATATTGGAATCCCACAATGACATGGCAGTACATATCACCACGTTCGTTGATGCTCTACCTGACGATCATGAATCTTGACAATAGTCTTACAGCGTAGTTTCCATTTTAAAAAGTTTAGTCATAAGGCTGTCATGTTCAAAGCACACCAATCTTCCCTGGAAGTTCTTCATAAGCCATATAGTGGATGAGGACAAGGGTCTCTCCAGCGTCCATTTCAACAGTCTAATTGTACAAAAATCCGTAGGTGCTCTGTCTGGCGACTTGGCTGATATGTATTTGTTTGGAATAGAACGAGTACCCGTTTTATTCTCCAACTGTTTGAAGTATGCTACAGTTGAACGAATATGTCGTGAAAGCAGGTTCTGTGCATGACTTCTATTGCTTTTCCAAACGGTTATCCTTCTTAGTTATGTTGTGTAGTGTTGCCTGGGGCACATAGAAAACTTTTGCCACTGATATTTACAAAATACCTGTTACAAAACACCACATTCTGCTTACCACGGGTAGGTACGACTTGTTGCAGGTCTCTTTCTGGATGGTCCTGGGACCCTAAATTGATTCATATTCCTATGTATTTCAAAACCATTAATTACGAGGAATATTGTCGTCTATGAAATTCTAAATTCCCGATCTGAATACATCTTTGTGATCTCAGTGTATGTATATTTTGCGACAGAAAGGACTGTTACGCACCTTTCCAAAAGTGACCAATTTTCGGTGAAATTACACTACCTACGATATATATACATTCTTAACAGATTTTACTGACCTAACGAGACATCAGTAAATTAAAAACAACTGGACTGGAGCCGATAATACACATTAAAACACACACACAAATATTCTGTGTTTCTACAGAATCATCCTATTCCCTTTAACATTATGAACAATTCATAGAATACGTTTTATTTAAAGCTAGTTAGTTTGTTCTTAGACACACACATTAGTTCGGTGACCTGTGCGTGGAATATTTTGTTAAAGCTTGCTTACAGTTAGTGACAAGAATACTTGTTAAGGACAAAGATTAACCCGCGTGTAGCTAAGAGTCATGCTATCCGTCAAATGCTTGCCCATTTTGAATGACCCGCGAATGAGTATTGCTTCCTCAGGTAAGCTAAATAAAAAGATGCCAAATAACCTGGCAAAGAAAAAGACATGATTATCTGATGTTGTTGTTTTTTTAAATTTTCCACCTTAAAACCTGTTTCTCAGATCGTATAAGAGACTTAATTCTCAGCCATTCTTTGCTTTTTATAAAACTATTCCTCCCCCCTCCATCTCTTACGAACGTTTTCTGTTTACAATAGACACATTATATATTGCTGAATATACAATGATATCTCCTTATTAAAGAAATGTTATGCTTTATTGAATATTAATTAAAGCGTTGATTTTAGTGTAACTATAATGTATGTATATATATATATATATCGTAAATTTTGGAATATTTTGTGTTATTTTGCATTTAATTTTAACACCTTTTATAATAAAAATGTTTTGACATAATCTCTTTATTATCTACAAGGCTGAAATATTAAATGTGAATTATGAATGGTTATCTTAAAACCAAACAGGTAATAAAAAAGTTCTAGTTGAATGTTTTGGGCAAACTTTAAATAATCATTATAATAAAGTCATATGGATTATTTGTTAATCATTACAAAAATCTTATCATTTATCAGCATATTATCAATGTATATGTAATTATTTTTAATCACAATTTGTCGATCCAATTTGGAACTTTTTTTTGTATTGCTCCTTATTACAGAACAACTTCAAGAAATTCGAAAATCATACCAGGCTAAAATTATTTGTCAGAATGCTGATGACATGCCTACTATACAGCTTTATGTCATGAGGCTCCCTCACCCCATCTAGTAAGTAATTTTACTGCCTTTATGCAATGTTTCTTTGAATCTATTAAGGGTTACGAAAGGATTAGTGGTTAGTGTGCCGGATTATATATCGGAAGATCCAAGGTTCGGGCCGCAGTACACCACTGGATACGCTCCGCATTTTGAAATATGAGGCATTATAACTGTGACGACTAATCCCGCTGTTTAGTTTAGGAGTGGTCGCGTAGAAGGCAGCTAAAGCTGACTAGCTGCCTTCCTTCTGATCAGCGGCTTTAAATTAGAGATAGCTATACCTGAACCTTCTTAGGGTCTCTGACTTGACCGTTTAGCCAAGAATGAAAATGCTAATATTGAATTTACTAGACTAATGTTTATAATTGAGGTCAAAAGGGAGGGAACACCATTCTCATTGTTAAAATATAAATAAATTTGGTACTCCAAATTAACAGAATCATGAGCATGGAGTAAACTCTTCGAGATTTTATTGACTGTCTTAACCTCAAAAATGTGTACAGTTAAAGTCGTACTGAGTCTCCCTATTTTAAATATTATCCCCAAAAACCATTTGTAAAGTTGGTTTTTAAGTTTCTCTTAATGTTTGTTTCATGCAAAGCTTTTATTTAAATCTAATTTTGATCTATTCAGTGATTGATCAATAGATATTTAGATTCACGTTATATGTGGATATGTGAAGATTACGAGTGTATTGTACTCTTCTTTTGTTATGTCTATGGAGTTTTATTTCTCAATTGTCACAATTCGTGCACTGATTTTCATAAAGTATAGTTTGCTTGCACAAAACATTGTCTCAATTACTTTTTACTAGTATTATATTTTTATAATTTATAAAGTAAGTACATTTATGGCTGAGTTTTGTATTTATTAATAAATAAAGAAGGTAAGCAATGATAATATTATTATTTTTTGAAACGAGCATATCAAAATATATTTAGATCATTGCATATTATCATAAATTACATTTATTTTTTATACACGATTAGATATTCTTTCAATATTATCTTAACACTGTTGTAGTTCTGGTAGCGTAATTGTTTCGTATTTGATTACGTTTGACTAAAAGCTATAAATCTTATCAAAACACGTTGTTTTTCAGCAATCCACGCATGCACTGTGAGGACATCCCATCAATTGATCTCCGCTTCTGGCAAGAAGATCCTATTCACGGCACTTTTTCATTTAAGAAATAAATAATATTGAATCTAGAGATTGCTTTTTATACGCCATTATGGCAGTATTTGTACAAAATTATTTCAAGATCATTAAGAGACCAGCAAAGCAGCAAATGATGAAGAACAAAATATAAAGAATTTCGAGCCTTTTTTGAATGCCAAATATAGATAAGTTAATATGTAAATACAAACGTGTCATTTTCATTGGTAGTTTGTTCGAAGTACTTTTAAATAAACTTATTTAACAGCTGATTTTAGACTAGTAACAGATATTCGTATAAGCTCTTTGTAATCTAGAGATTAAACTACATTTCTTTATTTCCAGATAATAATGACAATTCTGTTTTTGTTATTATTCAACTTGTATATATAATTATTGTTTTCCAAGCCCTGATTTATTTAGTGTTAAATTGTTACAAACGTAAATATTCGCTTATTAATTTACCACAAATAACCAAAAGTAATAAGTGAGTGTTTTACGAACCTTTAATTTACGGTTAAAAACAGGTAAGATAAAAATATTTTTTGCCTTCGATTATAGCAAAACATAAAAATTATCCAAGTACATTTACTGTACATTAAGACCTGGTATATTTCTATAATTTTCACTAGAAAGACAATACAGACTGAGCTCTAGACATATCTGTACAAAACTACAGATAAACGTAGGCTTTCGTAGATATAATTATTGAAATATGTTATTCAATGTTGAAAATTTAAAAAATGTATACGTTTTTCTAATTTCTAATGTTTTTCTAATGATTAAAAATACCATACAGTTATTAACCCTTTTTAACTTAAGTTTATCTAATTATTTACTTACACGTAAATTGTATTAAATAATTCAAGGTGTGGTGATTTAAAAATAATCATTGTATGTTTCAGGTTTATAAACTTTGAGAGTAATAAGCGTTTTAGGTTTGTATTTTTCTGTGTTTATAATAACAATTAAGGTCTTCAAGCACTATCTGTGTCAACATTCATGGAAATGCGATTTTTTAAATGACAAGTTCTCACGAACTTATAAACGTTAGATTTATATAAATGTAAATTTCAATTAAAGCACGTATGTTATATTGTGTTCCTGGACTTTCCATGGTCGTTATAAACATTGTAAAGATACGTAGTATTTAATCTTAACGTAGTTTTAAAAACACTTTAAGAAAATATATTTTTCAGGAAGAAATGTTATGATTGATTTGTAAATTTCCCTCTGTGTGTGTGGAACCACAGGTTGAAAATAAAAAAAAAGAGTCAAGAGTGTGTTTAATGACTATTTTTTTTATCAAGAAAAAAGTAAGAACTGTAATTACGTAAAGATACATATAATGAACATAAAATAATTACATATATAAAATTAACCTGAAAATAAATGGAATAAGTTGTATGTTATATAATTAGGAAAGAAAACATACTCCAAGAGTATTCACAGTATCTTTTATACTAATACGATACAACAATAAGCCAAAAACTTTCCATTAACGTGATCCTTAACAATTGTTTTCATGTCCATGTGCTTTCAGCTAACAAAGATTCATAGGTTTTTCTGGAATTAAACTACCCTTGTTTTCATAACTATTTATGTAAATATGGTCATATAATCTATTTTAAACATGTTGCGCAAAATGGATATAGAATTCATCGTTTACAAATCAAGATTTCATCAATTTTTAATTAGTTTTAAATAAAATTATTTGTATTTATTTATTTATTCACACAACTTCATTATTTTTGTGTACCGATGTTGGGAAATTTCCAATAAATTGAAAACATTCTGGTTTTATATTCCTGTGATCATTGCTAGTGTTGACCATTAATATCTCTAGTTTTTTAATTATAGCTTAGGTTATAATGTAGAAATAAGAGTATTAAAGCTAAAGTGTTAACAACTGAAAACAAAATCTCGCATAAGAATATATATATATGCACATAAGAATACAAAGATTTTACTGTACTAAGCCTAACCAAAATTATTAGTATAGCTCTCATTTTGCGCCTTTGGTATTTATGTTCAAACGTCATATTCTGTCTCCCCCATTCATGTCTTGTATTCTATTATTTCTTTGTGTTTATTATTTTAAATTCTAGTTTAACTTTGTTTTTATTAGCAACCACCTTCCTACATCTAGTTACAGACAGCAAAGGGTGGTAAAGATGTGGGACATTATGGGCTGGAGTACCCACATCTGCTCTATTTTTATTTTATTTTTTTTATTAAGCAATTGAGGCCGGCAAAGTTGAAGTTAAACTGTAAGACGGTGTCCCTCTCCCTCAACGTAATTTGGGTTTTACTTCCGCCAGTACAGCAAAATACCAGGGCACATTATATAAAGACCACTTTCTGATTTGTGCCCCAGTGCTGTATGTCTTTATTGTGGCTGCGATTTATTTTTCACATTTTAATGTTGTTGTATTTTTTTTAATTACGTTTAATTATATTTCGTCTAAGGTTTGGATATGTTGCGTAAGTTTCGCGCTCTCCTTTATTTTAATGTATTCTTTTTATTATTTTTAGCTTTCCTAAATAATTAAATATATATATATATTCACGCATAATTATTTTTGAATTACTAGATAAG